TTGCATTCTGACAAATTTGAAATGTCAACTCTATCGCTTGAAAAGCTACCTAATGTTTTAAAATATACTTACTAGAGTTACTCTGTTATGAACAGGATCTCTGATAGAATGAATATAAGTTCCAAGCTGTTGGAAAGTACAATCCTCATTATAGAGAGAATCATGAAGTTTTGAAGAATCCCTCAGTTCTGGAACTGGAGACAACAGAACAACCTGTAAAAAGTCATAAATACGACACAAATGAAGTAGTTTCTCAGAAACTAAGGATAAAGAAACTCAATCATTTCTTTTGTGCACATGGTCCAATAAACAATTATGTGTAATGATTCTAAAACATTCTGCTCCAAACCAGGCACAGTGGTGCACCTATGTCCCAGATACTCCAAAGCTAAGGCAGGAGGATCACTTGAGCCCAGGAGTGTGAGGCTACAGTGTACTATGACCGCACCTGTGAACAACCACTGCACTTCCAGCCTGGGTAATATAATGAAACTCCGTCTATTTAAAAAAAATAATAAACATTCTGCTCCAGCTATGATGAAGTACCTTGCAGCAGACCAAGGTCCTCACAGAGAACAACTAGAATGTAGATAAAAGCAAAACATCTGATTGATGACACTGGAAAGCTGTGGAAGCAACCCAGACTTGAGGGACCAAAATCTAGGAGAGATCCACAGGGAGAAGGTCCAACATTCTCATCCTGCTTTACCTGTTCTAGGCATTGCAATTTTTGGTGGTGAGGAGAGTATATGGAAAGGCTAAAAATATGCAAGGAAGGCCACGGATAGAAGGAAGAGAAGCCAGCGGCATGTTCCAACCTTACAGGGCTAGAGACATAAACTGTAATTTGAGGCCAAGGCAGACAGGACTTAAGGAACTAAGAACCCAGAAAGAAAGGAGAGCAATGAAAAAGCAAAGAAATCAGACTGGTATTTAGTGGTATTTCCCCAAGAGGCAAATATTACTCAAAAATATAAAAACAGCATTTATTTGCTTAACTGCAAAAATGAAAACAAAAAAATGTAAATGACCTTAGTTACTAACTACATGCAGATGCATCCAATTTTAAATCTCCAGTCATAACCAC